AAAGGTCCAGCATGGCCAGGTGGTTAAGGCGCTCGACTCGCAATCTGAGGATCGCGGGTTCGAATCCCCTTCACACCAAACATGCTCGACCTTTCAGTCGTGGGGGCGTTATAAGTGACGGTCAATCCCACTATTCGTTGGTAAAAGAGTAACCCAAGAGTTGGCAGTGGGTGGTGATGACTAGCTGCCTTCCCTCTAGTCTTACACTGCTAAATTAGGGATGGCTAGCGCAGATAGCCCTCGTGTAGCTTTGCGCGAAATTCAAAACAAACAATCTTTAGTCTATCAGTTCACAATTAGGAATGGCTTTTGAATTTTTGCGTTAAAATCCTAAAGAAACAACTCAAATAAAGAGTATGATATCAATTAACACTATTTCGGCTATTATATCACATTCCTTCCAGTTAATAAGATTAACCATAGAAAATGAACTTGAATTTTAAGTAAAACAGAATCTGAAGTTAGTTTCACAGAAACTAGTGTAGAAAATAACAACTTGAAGTCACAGATTAGTATTCGTAATGAAGTTGTGAGTGTTATTTTGAAGTATTGCAGGAGTAAGCTTAGTATGAGTGAAACATTTCGAGAAGTTTCCAAATTGTAATGTTATGTGTTCATTTGGCTGATTTCTAAATTATCCACATACAAAATAAAACTAGCTTGTTTTGTACAAATCTTGTTGTTAAATGTTTTATGTATAATTTTTTCTTTACACAAGTTAGACCTGAGAGACATGTTAGTCGTGTTAATTAATTGCTTAAACGTACCAAACCGTCCCAGAAACCGAGGATAGGCAGAAACAGTGACTCACGAAACCAATGTGTCTGTCATGGTAACTAACAGTAGGCGTGGTTTATCTTTGCAGTTCTCAACGTATGCAGTTAGACATACCCAGATCAACAAGTTTTAAGTAGGAAGGCTAAACTCAAATCCTGTCATTTATTACCAGTTTCTAAAAATGTTATCGCTATTGAAAGTATCTTCTTTAACGTTAGTTATAAAATCAAGTTTATTATAATAAAATTTTAAAATGAAGAAAATAATACTAACTTAATTTCTATTCATTTATAAACATGCAAAATCAAGGGTTTCGGAAATGTGACAGCTGTTAAAAATGTTATTTATTAGCAGATGTTGAAGTATGGAAACTTGTAACTGTCTGATTTATCAAGGATTTTGGAAATGTGACAGCTGTTAAAAATGTTTTTTATTAGCAGATGTTGAAGTATGGAAACTTGTAACTGTCTGATTTATCAAGGATTTTGGAAATGTGACAGCTGTTAAAAATGTTGTTTATTAGAAGATACTGAAGTATGGAAACTTGTAACTGTCTGATTTATCAAGGATTTCGGAAATGTGACAGCTGTTAAAAATGTTATTTATTAGCAGATTTTGAAGTGTAGAAACTTGTAACTGTCTGATTTATCAAGGATTTCGGAAATGTGACAGCTGTTAAAAATGTTGTTTATTAGCAGATGTTGAAGTATGGAAACTTGTAACTGTCTGATTTATCAAGGTTTTTGGAAATGTGACAGCTGTTAAAAATGTTGTTTATTAGCAGATGTTGAAGTGTGGAAACTTGTAACTGTCTGATTTATCAAGGGTTTCAGAAATGTGACAGCTGTTAAAAATGTTGTTTATTAGCAGTTGCTGAAGTATGAAAAGTTGTAACTGCGTCTTATTTAGGGTTTCGGGAATATTGCAACTATTAACAGTGTAATCTACTATCAGTTTCGAAAATGGGACAACAGTTAATAGCCTTATTTATCACTAAAGTACACTTTACGTTAACAGCTGGAGAAATAATTTATCAATTTACAGAACGTTTCACAAAATGAGAGTTCAACTTGCTTCGGTCTTCAAGCGTCAAGATGGAATCGGATTACGATGTTAAGCCAATTTTCGACAATATATATATATATTCTCTCTGAGTAAAATATTAAGTTGTATGGCTAAAAAAGTTCCAAGGCTTACGATTAATTTTAGCTTTTGATCAAAGAAAGTTACCTACATAGATTAAAACTAAAAATTAGCTCCAATGTTAACATAGCTAATTTAATATACTTTTCTTACCTTCTTACCTACGGTGATTGGAAAACGTTGTTTTAACCTCGCTGTTAGCGTTGTATTCGACCGTAATTAGGTCATGATAAGAAAAAAAAAGTCTTCTATATTCTCCAACTTGATTTACTTCCACTTAAACAAATTAGATAAAATAGCTCTACATAATAATACCCCCCCCCCCCAGTGGCACAGCGGCATGTCTATGGACTTACAACGCTAGACACCGGATTTCGATACCCGTAGTGGGCAGAGCACAGATAGCCTCTTGTGTAGCTTTTTGCTTAGCTACAAACAAACAAACATAAGAATAATATAAGATCAAATAAGTTAAATGTACACGAGACTGACGATATGATCACATAATCTAGGAGCATGCGGGAAGGCTAAAATAACATGATATTTTGGGAGTTACCTATTAATGAAAATTATGTAATAAAATCTGTAACAAAATAGAATAATGATCGTAGAAGTTAGGTTTACAATAACAGCGAAGAAAGAAAATATAAAATTGCAAACAGATTACGAAAAAAAGTTAAGTAATTAAGAAAACATAAACAACAAATACTGATAAACTATATCAACATAAATTACGCTGAATAAGATAATATTTATATGTATATATATATATATACATAGGACTAAATTGTATAGATGTAAAAATGAAATAAAATGCTCTTATTAATGAGAGAATATCTAAAGCGATGAAGAAGAACAAAGAAACTAAATGAATTTATTATAAATGATGATTTTATAAATAAAAAAAAGACTTATTGATGTTGTAATGGTATTATAAGGTAAGTGGATTAACATAAGAGTAATGATATTATAAGGTAAGTGGATTAACATAAGAGTAATGATATTATAAGGTAAGTGGATTAACATAAGAGTAATGGTATTATAAGGTAAGTGGATTAACATATGAGTAATGGTATTATAAGGTAAGTGGATTAACATAAGAGTAATGGTATTATAAGGTAAGTGGATTAACATATGAGTAATGGTATTATAAGGTAAGTGGATTAACATATGAGTAATGGTATTATAAGGTAATTGGATTAACATAAGAGTAATGGTATTATAAGGTAACTGGATTAACATAAGAGTAATGGTATTATAAGGTAACTGGATTAACATAAGAGTAATGGTATTATAAGGTAACTGGGTTAACTTAAGAATAATTATATTATAAGGTAACTTGAAATTACATAAGTACAACAATGAAATACACGAAAAGCTAGACTTTCAAACTAATTATCATGTTTTAAGTTAAGCAAGATGCACATAAGAAGAATGAGGTGGTAAGTTAGATTTATGTGTGAATATTGCGTATTGGTTGTGTAACTAGGCTAATAATGTGGTAAGTTAGATTTATGTGGGAATATTGCGTATTGGTTGTGTAACTAGGCTAATAATGTGGTAAGTTAGATTTATGTGTGAATATTGCGTATTGGTTGTGTAAGCTAGGCTAATGATGTGGTAAGTTAGATTTATGTGTGAATATTGCGTATTGGTTGTGTAAGCTAGGCTAATGATGTGGTAAGTTAGATTTATGTGTGAATATTGCGTATTGGTTGTGTAACTTGGCTAAGATTTACATAATATAAAACAAATATATATAGATAAAGGTAGGAAAAAATCAAATGTAAGGTAAAAATTATGCTGAAGTAAAACGGTTTAACACTCTGAGAGTAAGGATGGTAACATGGTAACATAGATGTTATATTTACTTTCATTCGTAATTAACAGTTCTGATAGATTCTTAATGAAACAAACCTTATTTGTACTGTAATAGGATATATTAATTTTCTAGTTATATTAATTAATTCCTGTTGCCAGCGTATTGTTGTAAAGCGCAGTTTACGTCAACCGCATCTTCAACTCGTGTGACAGTTAATTTGTTAGAGATCTTATGAAAACAGGTACCAACCGGAATCATCTACGTCACTCTATTCACTCCTACGCAGAATGTTTATGATAACTTTTGAAGGATGAATTGAACAAGACATGTGTTTAAAAGACTGATGTTTTAGTCAAGTAATAACTTCAATTTGTCTTCAGTAGCTTATTACAAAAACTCATGCTTGTAACCTTACTAAATAAAAGCCCTTATATGAATCTTATTAAAAAAAGGATTTTAATTCCTAATATTTAAACCAACTGTGCTAATATAAGGATGTGTTACGCATTTCCGCTTAAATACAAACATCTAAAAATTACATAGCAAACTATACAGCATTTTGCTACTATGTTTAATTTTTTTATGAGTGACAAAATAAAAATTTAAATTTAAATCCACTTTAAAAGGTTAATTATATCAAATATAATAAAACTAAATTTATGTTTGTCCAGATTGACCAAACATAAGCCAGAAGAAGTTCTCTAAATCGTTCTTAATGATGCAATAAGTGAAGATCCTGTTAACTGGGAAAAGTTTTTCTTCTTATTTAATATCAAATTATAGCGGCCCAAACAGAAACCTGACTAAAGAATGATCGAAGAAAACATAAAGTTTATAATGCCAAGATCACTTTATGGTTGTGATAAGCAAGACAGTTAGTTCTCATTTCGTAATAAAACTTCATTTCATGAAAATTAGACTTCAACATTAAATTAAATAACTTTTTGAAATGACCAAAAGAAACGTTTACTATACACTAAAAGCAATGAAATGTTGGGAATATTTAGACTGTAAGTAAAAAACGTTTATATATATTTTGTATTTTATTGATAGGGAGAAAAATAACGAGCTCCTAATTCTTTTTTAAACGACTGCAGCGTTGAATCATGTTTTTTTTTTTGCGTTGATGAAAATCAGTTCGCATGAGGATTTATCATTATCTAAATTTGTGATTGAGAGGGTTATTTCAGTATAGTAGAAATTTTAATAGATTTAGTTTGAAATTAATTTACAGGCTAAACTTACGTTTTTTTCTTACCTTCTGTAAATTCAAATACTATTGAAGCAAATAGTTAGTGTCTAACGTTTCATCTAGTAACGCCATCAAATGTCGTTCTTCACATCATCAGAAGTATTCTCGTCTACACACTGTTAAAGATCTTCTAGTTAGGAGAAGAGAACCTGTTTTGGATATGAGGTCTTCCTACTGGAAACTAGTTGGAGAATAGGTTCATGTCAAATAACAGACTGAACATACTCTGATCAAATAATAGAAAATCACATGACCAGTTGAAAAACCTTTTTTTATGATGAATTCACTTTCTAAGTCTGGTTTCTAAATCCTGAAGATAGGCTTTGTAATATGATCAAAATTCATTCCAATCATAAATTTGAAATATTAGTCCAAATAATTTCGATATCTGTCAGTAATATACAAAAGCTGATTTACCGTATTTTCTTCGGAGTTGTCTTCTTTCCATGAAGCGAAGACTATTCTTTGCTGCTGTTCGAGTGACTTCCAATCTGGAGACAATTTTTATTCATGAATAAAATGGAAATTTCTAACAGCTTCAAGTCTAAGACAACTTTTCTCGAATGATCTTGATTTGTTTGTTTTTCTGAGAATATTCTAACCGGGAATTTTAATTCATTTAAAAATTACCGATAACTCAGAAATCACGTTCGTATAATAATTAAAATATAAGTAAATCATTCCAATTTAGATTTTCGGAAGAAAACTGATGTAGAGAAAAATATCTTATACTGCATTACTGGCTTTGACTTCACGGTTTTATAGTGCAGAAGAGAGGGGACGTGCCCATTGGTAGCTGGGGCGGTGGTTCGTAGTGACAGAGCCATCGTTCAATCGATTCATTGTCCGCCTGCGTTATTCATCTATAGAATAACATCAAAAATCTGTGATGTAACGGATTATTCGTCACCCTGTCTGTGGTATATCGGCTGTTTTCACTGTTTAAGTTCATTTCAAGACTCAACTAGCTTTAGCGGTTACTCTGCTACTGATCGTTTACCAGGAATATCATAATTTAAATCTGTGGTCACCATATTCAGTATGATAAAGCTTTTAAACCGGTTAGACACCGTAGTAGCAACTCTTATCATAAGCGTCTACGTATGATGTATCGGGTTAGGCTTAATATTCAACCTGTTGATAAACCATCCTCTATGGTCTAATGATTTTGTTCTAGTCTTTGATATAACAGTTTAGCATAGATCGTCATTATGCTTTCAAGCGTAGACATTTTAGGATTTGTCGATTAAAATTTTGTCAAGATCAGTTTTAGTAGACAACCTATTGACAAACATTTATCATGTTGCTACTTCGCTCTAGTGGTCACTCTGTGGATGAAACCATGTTTGGTTTGACTACTTAGTCTCATGATTATCCTATTGAGTAGCCTTTGTTCAAGGTATAACTGAGTAGTGAAAATGACCACCTTTAAATAAAACTCTAATTTTGGTTTGACGTGAAGGTTTAGTGACCACTCTATACATCTTTCTTCGTAAAGTTCTTTTTGGGGAAGATAACATCTTTGGTGATCACTATATCGGTAGACCACTCTTTATGGATTGACTGTTTATCCTTAGTGACCACTGTGTACATCTTTCTTCGTAAACTTCTTGTTTGGGAAGATAACATCTTTGGTAATCACTATATCGGTTGACCACTCTTTATGGTTTGACTGTTTATCCTTAGTGGTCACTCTGTACATCTTTCTTCGTAAACTTCTTGTTTGGGAAGATAACATCTTTGGTAATCACTATATCGGTACACCACTCTTTATGGTTTGACTGTTTATCCTTAGTGGTTACTCTATGAACGTCACACTATGTTACGTCTGTTTAACACTGGTAGTGATTCTGTTTGTAAAACTCTGATTAAGATGGTCACTGAGTTGTTCAGCTTCTGTGTACTTGTGACTTTTTAGTTTAAGGGGGTCACTTTATGTATGGAGTGACAATTTAGCCAACGTAGTTATTCTGTTACATGACCTTAATTGCATTAACACAAGACATTAATATTCACTGTGATTTTAAACTTCACTCTATGGGGAAATTTTTCATAGCCTTAGAAGTTAATCTGCTGATTGTCATTATTTAATATTGAATTCTACCCTGTCTATAAAACTTTGCTTACAGTGTCACTATAAGAACTTAGTTCTGATTGAGCTTTAGAAAACTTCCGGTGATTAAATAATTTTAGAGGTTAGGATTGATATACCTATATTTATTATGTAACCTTTTAACCTATGTAATTGCACAGCATATTATCTCCCGTGTACTGTATGACTAGGTAGTCTTAGTAATAGCTCATTGACTAAGTTTTTTCTATTGATTAGGCGTGGTCTAGTTCGCGTGCTTGGCTGTGAGTCGAAAGATTATAATTCAACTGAACACACACTATAAGGGTATCGCAATATATAACACCACGCCAGAGTCTGAGAATTTAAGTATGTCAATCTCTGTATAAATTGATATGTAAAAATTTAGTGGTGTTTAGAAATAAACCTTTTTCTTTCAAGCAAGCATAGTAATTCATAAGTCATGATTTTTTTTTTTTTTTTGAGATTGCATTAGAGTATAGCGTAAGTTATATTTGTTGTCTTAACTTTAGCCACATATAGTAAGGACACAAAATGTACACAATATACATCTGAGCGTGCAATGATATTTGCAGTTAGTTGGAGACAGTTCTTGTTATTTTATATGTATTAGTTTTATAAAGTCGTGTGCACAAAGTAATTCATTAAACACCCTTAAATATGCGTTTCACTGTAATATCCATGTGTGTATTAAAATATCAAGTTGCGTTTAGCTACAAAATAAGAGTTAAATTCTAGTTTACCTTGTGGTATAAACTAGTGTAATACAAAATAAGATTGAATAATCTGCTAGACTGGATATGCTAGACTCTTGAATAATGTAAAGCCGATATTCTTGAAACTGTAAGTTAAGCCTTACAGTATATCTTGAAGATTTAGTTAGGCTTAGAAAAGCTTCAATCAAAGCCGTGAAATATGTTAAATAATGTAAAAGAAACACTTGAAACAGCTATGGATGTTCTTAATATTTTAGTAAGTTTCGTCTTTGCCCAATTCCCTACATATTGTTACGAGGTATGGCTTGTGTATTAGGTGATAAAATTTCCCAATTTTGGAACACAACATGAAGAGAAGTTCTGTGTTGATGAAACATTTAATAGCAACTCTGCTGATTATGCCTTTTTAAATAATGTAACTGTTTCGTTGTTGCGATTACTCTGTTAATACACATCTCTATGAATACTCAGTCATTTCTCCCTCTCCATTGGCCCTTCGGCAGGCGGTAAGTGGAAGGGTTATAATGCTAAAAACCAGGCTTCGATAACCGCAATCGGCGTATCACTGATAGCCCATTGTGTAGCTTTCTGCTTTACAACAAACAAACAAAAACTAAACAATTTCATAAGTTTTTGCGAGTTTTGGCTGATTGGGTGAATTATTCTGTAACTTAAATAAAACATGAAATTTAGAGAAGAATTATAAAAGGAAAATAGAATGACTTGAACCGGGCATATCACAAAACTTAAAAAAAAAGAATATGCACATTTATTAAAATTAATCGTAGATGATAAATATCATAATAGATGAAAAAAATATCACTCAGTAAACATCTAATAGTAATAATAAATTTTTTTAGTCATTAATAATACTCAATAGACAATTTTAATTTATTTACAGTACATAACATGAAAGTGTTTGTTTGTTTGTTTTGAATTTCGCGCAAAGCTACACGAGGGCTATCTGCGCTA